AGATTTGAGTATTTTTTTTAAAAAATCAGCGATAGTCTTTTTAAAAAAAGTGTTTAAAGATAGTAATTGGCAGGCAACAAAAACGTATGGCTTTCTAAACTCATAATTTCTTTCAGGGCTTTTTTTTGTAGAAAAAGCACAGCAGGAACTCATTAGCATAACAGGCCACACCCAACAGCAGAAACATATTAGCATATTAGGCCACACCCCTGACAGAGCAGCTCATTAGCATATTACACCACACCCCACACTACCAGAAGTGTGGTCATCCAGCCACACTCACCTTTTGCTTCTTATTCTGTTTACCTTGTTTGTTGTCAAAACCCAGGGCCTTTTTTTGTAGCAGGAACCCTTTGCATGTTAGGCCACACACCCCTAATGAGTTTCTGCTGTTGGGTGTGGCCTATTATGCTAATGAGTTCCTGCTGGGCGTGGCCAACTCGGGAGCCAGCCGGAACTCTGTTCCTGTGCGTTCCTGCCCAAAAATAGCCCTGATTTCTTTAAACCAAAACTGTGATCCTGCATCCAGTTCAATGAATTACGGCTGTTTGGATGGCAGCGTCTCATTCTTCAAACATACACCATGATCTGGGACGCTTCACCTCAAAACACTATAAACATGACACAAGAAATCGTAAGTTTGTGCTTGGCAAGGCAGACTGTGTCAACCGAACAAGGGGGGGTGCTGCGTTTCCACGTCTGCTCTGCCGTACCTTCCTTTTGCAAAGCACTTGAGGCATTCAAGGAAACCATCTTGCTTAGCGAATATACACAGAACCGAAGAGAACCCCTTAACTTCACGGTCGCTTCCACTGGCAGAGTCAAATTCAACAGTGTAAAAGGACTGTCTGGCTAGAGGTTTTCCATTATACACTTGGATCCTTGAACGGGAATTCGATCAAAGATCCCCAACACGGTCCCCACGGGCACCACATCGTTTCTGGTGCTTACCAAGCGTTTTTAGAGAGTGGGAGGGGTCACGTGGGGCTTCTACCCAGCAAGGGTTTTGATTGGCTGTTGGAAATTTGATTGGCTGTGCAGATTTTTTAAACTGTTGCTTCGGCAGCAGCTGGGCACCACGGCACAAAGATATGTGCGCCTGAAGGTGAGCGGCGGCAGCCAATCTATGTCTGCCTTCACCTCCCGCGGCAGCCATTCTGTGGCAGGCGTTTTGTATCTGTGCCCACCACACCGTGTCAGAATTCCAAAGGTGCGGCGAGCTCAGAAAGGTTGGAGACTCCTGAATTAGACCACTGGACATGTTGTTTAAATCGGAACATTAAACTGGCCTGTTTTCTTTAGGATTTAAAATGGTCCGTGATTTAAATCAGCTTTTCAAACTTAGTGCTCCACTAAGTTGCAGTGCTTCACCGCTACCAGAGAGCCTCCCCGTTAACCCGAGGCTTAATTTCCTGATCCATGCAGGACTGAGAGAAAACGGTCTGGGGCAACAGAAGGGAGGGAGAAGAAGAAGAAGAAGAAGAAGAAGAAGAAGAAGAAGAAGAAGAAGAAGAAGAAGAAGAAGAAGAAGAAGAAGAAGAAGAAGAAGAAGAAGAAGAAGAAGAGGTGGAGGAGGAGATTGGATTTATACCCCGCCCTTCACTACCCGAAGGAGTCTCAGAGCGGCTTACAATCTCCTTCCCTTCCCCTCCCCACAACAGACACCCTGTGAGGTAGGTGGGGCTGAGAGAGCTCTTTCGAGAACTGCTTCTGAGAGAGCAGCTCTGAAAGAACTTATGACTGGCCCAAGGTCACACCACCAGCTGCATGTGGTGGAGTGGGGAATCAAACCCGGTTCTCCCAGATTAGAGTCTGCGCTCCTAACCACTACACCAAACTGCCTGGGGAGGTGGGATGGGGCAGACCACACGGAAAGTAGTTGAAGAGGACCTGGGCTGAGCAGGCCCTTTGGATCGTAGCCCACACTAGGGTTTACCAATCTCCAGGTGGGGCCTGGAGATCCCCCGGAATCATGAGTGGCCTCCAGATGACAGAGAGCCGTTCCCCTGGAGGAGATGGCTGCTTTGGAGGGTGGACTCTTTGGCCTTGTACCCCACTGAGGTCCCTCTACTGCCCAGAACCTGCGACCCCCAGACTCTACCTCCAAAGTTTCCCAAACCGGAACGGGTAACTCTATCCCAGCTGCCTGCTTTTATGAGCTAACAGGCAAAAGAACAACAAACATGGCCGCTTCTTCGCCTCTGGTTCGGCCTTCGGAAAGCTTGATTTCAGTAGCCAATGCCATGGAGAGGTGTCAGCAGCCACCCTGGTTCCCGGGCAAAGATTTCCTCTCAACCCCCTTCCCCCACGCCACTGAATCCCAACTCAAACTGGATATGGAAACAAACGGAATGATGTTCCTGGCTCCGTACTGCCTACTCTGCCTGGCTCCATACGCCCTGGAGGAGACCGGGGCCTCTGGGAGGCCGTCCTCCTAGACCTCTCCTCCTGGTGACCCTGGTGGCACACCGTGTGCAGAGGGCAAATCGACTGAATGATGTCTACATCGTCAGTCTTGTCCGCATCACATTCCCGGTCACACGAGACGTTAATGAAACTGTTTCAGGGGGCAGCCATGTCTGTCTGTGGCAGAACAGCCGGATTTGTGTTCCAGTTGCACTGTGGCAACTGGTAAGATTCCTGGGATATCTGCTTTTGAGAGTCCCTTCGTCAGAGGTGAGCTTTGACTCTCAAAGGCTCATATCCAGGGGTCATTTTGTAGAAAAAGAGGTGCAAGAGCTCATTAGCATAACTCATTAGCATGACTTATTGCATATGCCACACCCCCTGACGTCACCGGAAGTGTGTCAGAAGGCAACACCCACCACTCAGGCTCCAGTGGACTGTTTTGGATTGCTAGCCTTTGGGGGGGGGGAAACATGCAGATCTGCCCTCGCAGAGGAGGGAGAGCTTGTACCTGAATAAAACTTGGTCTTAAAGGTGCCACTGGACTGTTTTGGACTGGGGGTGGGGGTGGGGGTGGGGCTCTGCAGCTTACCTGGCTGCTTCTTGCTCTGACTGAGGGCTGCTGGGAGCAGGGGGTGGGGCTTGTTGCATGTGCCCGCCCCCTGGACTCTTTACTGCCGGAGCTCCGCTCCTGTGCGCTCCTGCAGGAAATGACCCCTGTTCATAGCCAAAAAACGCCTTGTTGATCTCTCAGGAACTACTGGACTCAAATCTAACTATTAACGAAAAATGGGCCCTTTAAAAATTACATGCCCGTGGGTCGTTCCGGCCACTGCATCTCAAAAGAATTTTGCAGAAATCGAATAGATGCAGAAGAAAGCAAACAAAATGATGAAGGGATTGGAGCACCTTCATTACGAAGAGAGGCTGGAGCCTGGGCCTTTTTTCTTTAGGGGGGAAAAACAATTAAAGGGAGAAATGACTGAGAGTAATGAAATTCTGCAAGGCTACGGAGGGAGAGATCTCTAGATCTCTTTCTCTCCCCCGTAACATTTTAACTCAAGGTCAGCCCATGAAATTGATTCGACGGTGCCTTTGGGACATGTATAAGAAAGGACTTCTTTATAGAAGGGATAATTAATGTATGAAATTTACTGCGATAAGATGAAGTTATGGGCTGCATGCACACAGCAGTGATTCTCCTTGGTGCTTTTACTGCCACAGTGATCAGATGAGCAATGAATTCCTGCCTGACTCCAGGTGTCTTGCAGCTCCCCCTCCCCATTTCTTTCCAGGCAATCAGGACAAGAACTGCCTGCACCTTTCCTCTTATATCTCCACAACCAAAAGGGCTAGATACCGTTTGCTTAACAAATAAAAGCTGAGAATGCAGAGGAATGAGTAGATCATGGCAATAAATCACTACGATGTTGCGCTGTAGTGCAATTGAAGTTACTCATTTTTTTTAAAGCCCTCCATTGGTGCAGAAAAGGAACACGGCAACTAGAGGAGATAACGGAAAGAAAATGGTTTCTGTGTAGGTGGCTGCTCATCAAGGCGGCACACAAATTGTGTTCTTTCCAAAAAGCTTGCACCAAAGCAAGCTCGGGACCGATCAGAAGAAAGTGGGGTTTAAAACGGAAAGAGGACAATTGGAGGACGTCACGTGGATGCTCAAAAAAGCACTCCCGTTTAGAAGTGAAGGTGAAGCAAAACATCCGTGTGGAAGCTGCCGCGCCATTAGATCTGATGAACTTAAAGGGGGGGGGTAAGAGAAACAGATGGAAGACGTGTCCATCAAGAGCTATTGGTCGTGACAGCAAAAGTGAACCTCCATGCTCAGAGGCACTGTACCTCTGAGTACTTGTGGCTGGTGGGAGGGTCAAACAACGGGGGAGGGCTTCATGCCCTGCTGGCTTCACAGAAGCACCTGGGTGGTAACTTTTAGAAACAAGAGGCCCGATCTGATAGCCTCTTAGTCTGATCCAACAGGGCTCCTGTTTTGATCAGCCCTGTTGGATCAGACTAAGAGGCTATCAGATCGTATACACACACACACACACACACACACACACTCCTGGCTCTTGGCTTACTGGGGGGGGGCAGGGAAGAAACAGTGTCTAATGTCAAGCTCATGGGCTGTGTTTTTTAAAGCGTAGCCTCCTTTTAGCAATTTTGTATGACTCACTTCACGGAGCGTTTGTGGCAAACTGACACAGATATCGCTTGACGGCTATTTGGCCCCCACGAAGAGGGGCTCTTGAAAAGCAGAGGACGATGTTTCCTCTTGGAACAAACCCCCGTGGCCTTTTTCTTTTGTGATATGCAAATGCTAACGACAGGAATCACAGCCTTGGCGTCCGAGGGCCTGTCACTCCCGCACGGCTACTGACATCGGGCCCTTCTGGAGGCCGTGGAGCCGCCGGCGGAGATCGCACCCGCCACCTGCTTGCATGACCCTGACAAACAGCACATGACTAAACCAAGGGACTTTCATGCGAGTGGCATCCAGCCCGCCAAGGCCTGGGAGGGGAGCAAGAGCAGCGTTCGGGGACCCAGGAGTAGGAGAGGAGGAGGAGGAGGAGGCGTCTTACGTGGAGAAGGCATTGTTCTGCTTCTCGCATCGGATCCCCTTGCAGTTGTTGGGTTCTTCCGAGGCACTGGTTTCGTAATAGAAATAAAGCTGGTTGAGTCCATTGGCAAACGCCAGCAGCACCAGGCAGTAAATAAAGAGGAACTTGAGGATGTCTAGCAGCATGCGTCCCAGAGAGATCTGCAGGGGTCCCAGGTGGGAGTTTGCTGTAAACAGGGAGATGAGACGCAAGGAGCTTAAAATGTTTGATATTGCAAAGAGGGCTTCTGCAATGAGAGTGGGGTGCCACATTTCCCATTCCTCCCTTGGACGGGAACCATTGTACTGCAAGAAATAATAGGGGAGGGGGGGGAAAGGAACACAGGTGAATGGTTGCAGGCAACATTTTCAAACCACACAGTTCAGTTCAGTTTTCAGAGCATTTGCACGGACAAACCGAGAGCAGTGATTCCCCCAGCAAGGGTGACAGGCCCCCGTCAGGGGCAGGGGATCCCCCGTCCCCAGTCATTGCCCCCCACCACAGATCAGCTGGCCAGCGGGGAGGGGGACGATGACTTACCAGCTGTCGAGGGAGGCCTAGGCTGGCATCGCTGCGATATTGCTGGCAACGTGGCAACATCACTTCCAGGGCATGCCGGCAGTGAGGTCACCGTGTTGCCGGCGACATGAGATGCTTTTGTACTCTGGCAAAAACTCTATGGTAAAAAAGAAGTCTACCATAGAGTTGCTGCTCAAACACCAGAGTGTCTTGTGTTGCCCACCATGCAATGACATCACTTCCAGCATACAACAGAAGTGATGTCGTCGTGTCGTCAGCAAAGCTGCTGCATCAGTGGCCTAGGCTTCCCCTGCTGCTGGCAAGTCCCCTCCGTCCTTTCCCAGTTGCCAGGACAAACCTGGCAACCCTATCCCCCAGTGTAGCACTTATGGTGCCCACAGCTATCTTTCTTGGTGCCCACTTGCTTCTTCCCCCAAACCCTTCTTCTCCCAAGCAATTCTGGCTTTCCTCAGTCTGGCAGAGGCACCAGGGGGTGGCTGGAGAACTCTCAGGATTACAACTGATCCATTCCCGTATGTGTGTGGGGAATGGCTTCTTTGGTGGATGGAGTCTTTGGCATTGGAACCCTCTGAGGCTCCCCTTCTCCCCAAATCCTGTCCCCCCCCCCTCTCCGCTGCCAAAATCTCCAGGAATTTCCCAACCCAGAGCTGGCAACCCTAGGGAGGAGGTGCTTCAGAAGATCTTTCTGTCTCTAGGAAGCACCTATTTGGAAATAGCTGCCCCCATCACAGGAAGGGGTGTGGCCTGAAACTTCCCACCAGTCTGTGATTGCTCCCCCTGGCAGCCATTTTGTGATCAGCCGTACCTCCCAAGGCAGCCATTTTGTAGTGTTATCCACTATCCTTTCTTAATATTCCTAATGTGTCCACAGGCCTCAACAAGGTTTGGGAGGACTCCAGCCCGAGATGAATAATATTCCGTGAATGGAGGTGCCACGGAGGGAAGGCAGAAGGGCCTGCCCCCTCCCACTTCCTTTCTTCCCCAGGTTTCAGATTAGGGTTGCCAACCTCCAGGTAGGGCATGGATTTCTCCTGGAAGTACAACCCATCTCCAAACAACAGGGATCCGTTCCTCTGGAGAAAACAGCACCTTCGGAGGGTCGACTCTGGAGAATCTCATCCCTTCTGAGCTCCCATTCCCTCCCCAAACTCTGCTCTTCTCGGGGTTTGCCCCCCCCAAAATCTCCAGGAATCTCCCAGCCCAGAGCTGGCAACCCTATTTCAGACCATGTTTGAGCATACGTGGGCACATGAAGCTGCTGTAGCCCAGTCAGACCACTGGTCTACTATGTTTAGTATTGTCTGCTCTGATTGGCAACGGCCCTTCAGGGCCTCAGGCAGCCAAAGTACTTGCAGATGCTGGGGACCTTCTGCAGGCAAAGCTGGTCTTCTTTGGTTGAGCTGTTTCCTTTCCCCTGCGGACACTGAGATTAGTAAGAGAACCTCTTTCTGACCATTCTGGGGCCACGACTGAAGCTGCTTCAGACTAGGGATGTGTAACACCCACCCACCCCCCGGTGAAAATATCTGTCCCGATATTCCTGAATCCCTATACCGGCATGGTATTTGAATTCAGGAAATATTCAGGAAACCTGATTTTTTTTTCGACTCCATTATACCTTATGGGGACCATTGGTCCCCGTAGTGTATAATGGAGAATCGATTCGGGGTTCTTGGGGAGCTGGGTTTTTTGAGGCAGAAGCACCAAATTTGCAGCATAGCTGCTAGTCCCGCTCCTAAAAACACCCACCCACCCAAGTTTTAAAAAGATTCAACCACGGGGTCCAATTCTACGGCTCCCAAAGAAGGTGCCCCCACCCTCCATTACTTTCAATGGAGGTGGGAAAGGCATTTAAAGAGACTGTGGTCTCTTTAAATGCCTTCTTAGCCTACTTGCTGAGTTGTGCTGTGGTGGCAGCACAGCTTGGAGAAGGTATTTGTAGAGACCTTCTTTAAATGCCTTCTTCAAGCTGCATCGCTGCTCTCGTGGTTGTGGCGCATGTTGGCGAGTGAACTCAGATAGCCTCTTTAAAAGACTTGCCTTCTCCAAGCCATGTCACCACCGTGGAAGTGCGACTTGGCGAGTGGACTCAGAAGGCATTTAAAGAGACTGTCTCTTTAAATGCCTTCTCATTGCCTCGCCCAAATAAAAGCCGAATAATATTGGCTTTTATTCGGGCACAGCTATATCGGTAGCCGAAAAGAAACTCTAATTTCTTTTCAGCTTAACCCCCCCCCCAAAAAAAAAATACGTAAGGTATTTGGGGGGGGGAAGGTTTTTTGGGTATACTGAACGCACACCCCTACTTCATACCTCAATCCATAGGTCAGAACTGTCTACTCTGACTAGCAGTGGCTCTCAGACAAAAAGAAAGCTTTCTCCAACACCCACAAAGTGAGATCCTTTTAAATGGAGGTGCCAGGAACTGGACCCAGGACCTCCCAGAAGCAAAGCAGTTGCTCTACCATGGAGTCATAGTCCCACCCTAGGGTGGCTCAGCACTGAATGGTCTTAACTATTGATGCAGCATCAAGAGTTAAGACCTCTCCCAAAATTACATCTGATGTCCAGACTATGGAAATCAGTTGCCCTGGAGAAAACAGCTGCTTTGGAAGGGAGGCTATGACATGGGGGCCCACTGTGGTGCCTATAGGGGCCATGACACCCACCAACTCCTTTCCTGTTACCTGCCAAGTGTTTTTAGAAAGTGGGCAGAGCCAGATGGGGCTTTAACCCAGACAGGGCTCTTTTTGTAGCAGAAACTCCTTTGCATATTAGGCGACACACACCTAATTTAGCCAATCCCCCAAGAGTTTACAGTAACCGCTGTAAGAAGAGCTCTGGAAGCTCTTGGAGGATTGGCTACATTAGGGGTGTGTCGCCTAATATGCAAAGGAGTTCCTGCTACAAAAAGAGCCCTGCCTCCTCATTGGCCATTCGAGATCTGACTGGCTGTGCAGATTTTTAAATACATGGCTTTTGCAGTAGGTGCCACCACAACACAAGGACCTTCACGGTGTGAACGAAAGTAAGCTGCAGCAGCCATTTTGTGCCTGGCCGTGCCTTCTGCAGCAGCCATTTTGTGGAAGCCATTTTGTGGAAGCCATTTTGTGGCTGTGCCTAACATGGGTCCCGTTCACACGGAGCATTTGCCATGCTAAAGATACGGATGATAGGTGGATTTTCCGGGCGCAATCACACTGCAACATCTAGGAAGCGTAGTGGACCCGTGGCTAACCCGTGGCTTCTTGCCGAAGATATGGAGTAAAAAACTAGTACATACAATGTGCCAATTTCTGGAAAACGTGGGGCAAGGGTGGGATCACATTTCTGCTGGAATCCCGTGGCATCCGGCGCCCGCCCATGTCCCGTCGCAAACCAGATGTGTTTTTTTTAAGTCTCCACAGGATGCTCACAAACGCCCACCGGCACATGCACACACTGTGGAGAGGGGGAAAAATTCTCGTTTGCCACAGAAGCGGCATCTAGCGATTGCCAGTGTGATCGCGCCACGCCGCTTCTTTGCCGCGCTGCAGGATAGCCGTGTGATCGGCACCTAACGGCATACCCACAGGACCTCCACGGGACATGTGATCGGGCTGCCGTGCGTTACTTTGCTCCGGGGCAAACAGCCACCCCCCACCCCGCATTTTCCGGCCTGTGTGACCGGGACCATGATGTATCATAATTCCAAAGGTGGCCACACGCTCAAAAAGGGTTGGGGATCCCTGCTCCACGGCATTAGACTGTACTGAGGTCCTCCCCTCCCCAGGACCCAGCCCCCTAAATCTCCAGGAATATCCCAACTCTAGTTCCTCCTCCTGTTGTTGTTATTTATTCATTTTTAAAATTCTGATTCAGGATCCAAACTCTGAAATAAGTCCAACTAGAGAGGATAAAACAGCCTTGGGAGGGCCTTTCTGAGGGAGAACGAGTGGGTGTGAGAGGGATGTTGGGGGCCCCCCCACCATCAATTTCCCACCCCCACATCCTCAGCCCACCACTGGTTGAGTGCGGGGCACACCATTTACCAAGATAATGTGTCGTTCCGACCTTGATGGCCCTTCAGGATGATAATTTGCAGCATTATCTTGCCTCAGCCACCGATTCCAGCTTCGAGCTGAGGCCGCCGATGGTAGTGCGGTAATTTAGTATTAAGTAGTGCTCCGTTTTAATAAGAATGTCATTGCAGTTGAAATATCAGCTCCCGCAGTGCCTGGCCTCCCTTCTCGAAAACCTCTCTTAATCCAAACCTTATTCTTTCCATAGATAAACAGAGTAGATATACTCCCTAGTGCCTCTTTTGCCAAATACATACATCGGGGAAGTCTAGTCTGCTGGCTGTGTGGCCTATTAATTTCTAAATGGATGACTTTCCCTTCCCTTTCTGTATGCTAAGATGTATATACCAGCAGAGTACAGAGTATAAAGCGGTCGAAGAAGCAGAGTATTGATATAAGGGCTGCTTTTGTCGGCTGGGATAATTGCCATCCTCCACGCCATGGGCTGGATCCTGCAGACCACTTCCTGCTAAAGTTGCCAACCTCCAGGTAAGTCCTGGAGACCTCCCAGAATTACAGCTGTTCTCCAGATGAGAGAGATCAGTTCCCCCTGGAGAAAAGGCTCCTCTGGAGGGAGGACTCTGTCTCTCCCCTGATGCTCCTCCGCCATGACAGTTTCGCTCATCTGAGCAGGGCCTTCTGTGGGTGCCAACCTGTTCTCTCAAGAGCAGTCCTCAAAAGAGCTCTCTCAGCCCCACCTACCT